TTTGTATAAAAGTGTTAGGAAAACTCGTATCTGATCATATCGATTATCAGCTTTAAGAAATTTGTATAAGAGTATTGGGAAAAACTCATAACTCATCATAGCAGTTAACGACTTAACGAAATTTGTATTTTTAAAAGTGATACAAAAATACAAAACTGAAATGTATAGATGAATTTAAAATGTTCGGTGTTCCTGCAGGTTTATTGCGACCGTGACACTGATTTTACGAGCAAGAATTTTAAGGAATACTGTTTAACTTTAGGTGTTAAACAAGTGTGTTTTTATGTGTTAAACAAGTGTGTTTAACTTTAGGTGTTAAACAGACATGTTTAACTTTAGATATTAAACAAGTGTATTTAACTTTAGGTGTTAAACAGGTATGTTTGACTTTAGGTGTTAATCAAGTATATTTAACTTTAGGTGTTAAACAGGTATGTTTGACTTTAGGTGTTAAACATGTAGTATGTACTACTTCGACTCATCGGGCTTACGGCCAAGTAGAACGAGTGAACAGTTATAGCTTCAACTAATGACGAAAATCGTTAGACGAAGCTGTAGCAGATGTAAAATGGGGAATTAATTTGACGGTTAATTCCACTACAGGGAAAACTCTGCTACCAGTTATTTTCCAAGGGTAGCTGTGAATATTAGACTATACAAGGGTTCTTGGGTTCTCCTAACTTTAGTTGGTGTACTAAAGGTCGGGCCAGAATTTAAGTTCTCCAATACCTAAATATAAATAAAACTATAATAACTGTGCAAATCAATCAAATTTATTTTAACCCTTTTAAAACAGACTTCGGCAAGAGACATGAAAGTAATCACAAAGATAGAACCGATTAGTTCTTATTATAGATAATAATTACAAAATTATATATATTTTTACATTAGTCGAGTAGTCGAATATGTAGAATACAATAAATACATTAATCCTATACAAAGGATCATGCAGCAGCTTACAAATAAAATATTAAATTAAAGTTTTCTATATGTTCTATAAGTTGCAACTTATTAAATCCTAAAATAAAGTTACATCAAATTTAAATAGATTTCAACTCAAACGAATCTTGTATGTAAAATTGGACAAAACAATTCAGTATTAAAGTTACTGAAAATAACCAAATCTAATTCGTTGGAGCCAAAACAAAAACCTATGAGTCTAGATTTTCTCACTTCATTAAAATTATATAAAATAAAAAATTACTTAGCTTAATCAGTAGATAAACAATCCATGGAGTATCCGAAGATTCAAGACTCTGTTTTCGTTAAGTATAGATACTTATGTGGACAGCAAAATGGTACTGTTGGTGGCTCTATGTTATAGATGTAACCGCAAACTACATGGACTCATTGTACACCATTCGACAACTAAACTCTTAGAATGGAAGACATCCAATCCAAATCAAAGAAAATCCAATTAACAGGACATCATATATGCATCATACAACATCACAAATATGATCAAATTCCATAAAATATTCTCCATTGTCATGGTAAATATCCAAGGACAAATCATTGCCAAAACCGTAATTGTACCTACATTCGTACAAAAACTTGGTATAAAACTGGATACTAAACGATGTACTGAACGCTCCGGCCAGCTTTCCAACTGCGTCATTAGCCAAATCCAGAATACAACTGTATTATTAAAAAATATATGTGTGGTGTTCAAATCCCGCAATCCCACACACTAAGGGCGGTTTTAATTATTATGCAATACCAAAACACTCTACAAATGCATAAAATTATAACAGGAACACACACACTGACTAAATAATGACCCTCTACATTCGATGGTAAGTTTGGAAAGAACGAAAAATGCGTAATTTCTAATTACTCTAACCAAACAATTCGATATTTACAAATGCAAACAGTTTCGAATCGGACCATAGTACAAATCGATAATCGATCACATTCCGATACATCGATAAATAACCACAACAAGTTATTTAACAACAATTAATATTGTTATCTGCTGGATCAACTAAATCCTAATACAGATGAACTAATTATTAACCTCTTATAAAACATTTACTAATTATAGTACAAAATGTACATCCTTAAAATTAAAACAATATCGAACGCTACCCCATAATCGATTTATAAATTACAGAGTTACTAATCCTCAACAAAAACGTATCTATCGTTTAAGTCGTAGTCTGTCGAAAACAGCTGAGATGAATATATTTGGATTATTCTAGAAATTACTCTACACTCAGAAAACAAAAGTAGTAAGATTAAAATTTTGAAATTATCAAATAAATATTATTTATTTCAGAGAAATGAAAATAAACGAAATTGTTTAATAAAGTGACGTAATTATAAAAATTGCAAAATCTGATCGTAACAACTCCCTTCGAACTATTTGGATGTTGAGATGGAACGAAGAGGAGATACTATCACGATACTAGTCACTGTTGGTGAGAATAAATGCCTTTTTGTAAAGTAACTTTAATTAAGTGATATAAAAACATTTTCGTTTCGTCAATCTTCAAACATAAAATTATTGAATTCAAATAAATCAACGTACGACTCTTAAGTCGTCATTTTTATTACACTTTTCCATTACTCGAAGTGCGTTCATCTGTTATAAAGCAAAAAAGTGTTTATGTCGTCTCTACTTCATTCTATCTCGATGGTCCTGGATGAGTTAATGATGTTTGACGGCTGAAGTCTGTGACGATAACGAATGTCCAGATTTGGAAATGATCAGAAATAAGTTTTCTGAAAAGATAAAGGGGTTTATGATTGACAACTTGTGTTGTTTTTGACAGGTCTGTTATTTTGTAAACACATAGAAATAACAATATGTTTACAAATGGCCTGTCTGTTAGGAATAGCATTGCTTGTCCATCATAACCCCGATAGGATGGGCAGAGGTACCAAAATATGTGTCACGATAATAAGCATGCTCAGTTACGAAAATTAAAGGTTGGCCAACATGTGTTGATTCAAGCAAATAAAGGCTCCAATGACGGACGGAGCAGGGAAGCTTGAACCTTGTTATAAAGGACCCTAGTTACGAAAGTACTCGATGACGATCGGTACGTGGTTGACGAACTGCCAGGGTCCAAACGTTGTAGGACAGCTTATACGGGCATTGGTCCTTCAGATAAAATGAAACTGTTACGAAAGTTTCGGAAAGCGATACTAGTGGAGCCGTATATTTGTTATAGAAATATTCGCGCTCACATTCATTAATTTCAGTTTAATTAATATTTTGTTTGTTTTGTATGTTACAGATTACTCTTCGCGAGGACGCGAAAATTTATCAGGTTAGCCGACTGTAACCACTCGGATGTTTCGTTTATCGCTAGGCTAGGACCACCCTGTCATGATTCACGAGTGCTACTCATATTTCGTAGAACGATACGTCGAACTGGGACACATAAGAATATTTGGTGATTAGCACGGCATTCTTGGATAGGTATTCATTCGATACGTTTCATTTTATGTACTATTATTCTTAACACCGATTAAATTCGATTCTATATTAAAATCAGATTTATTTAATTTAAAATTAATTAACATAGTTTACATTATATATAGCATACAACATATATCCAAAGATGAATATGAATTCCGAATACCAATGTCCGTCAAAGTGCAGTCCTTGTGTCCTCTCGCGACAACTCGGTCAGTAGAACTACGTAAGAATTCCGAGGTGCCATCTCGCCTTCCCTTCAGGCACTGAGAAGAGGCTAGGCGTAATACTGGTTGCATACATTGCAGGGGAATCGGTCTGCTACAAAAGCAAATTTTTCAATCACTGTTTGGAAACCCCATTCTACGGCCGGTCTAACTAAACATAGGAACAAAGTAATAGTTCTCTTATGCCATATGCTTGATCTCCATATAAGACAAACTTCTCCCCATTTGGAAAACTTAATTTCTAATTCCTCATGCAAGCGAAACTATAAAAATACCAGCATCATGTCTTCTGCCCGGATAAGTCTCTTTAAGATTTATTATTAAACCATCAGGAGTCAGTATAGATTGATATTTCACGCAGTGATATCTTTTTATGGCCAGGAAAATAGTTTTCTTGCTCTTCAGTTGACCTACAAATTGCCCGTGTTGGGCCGTCAATAAATCCCCAACAATTATTTAGGGGTGCTTTTTTTAGAAATTGGCAAGAAGAACTGAATGAGATAAGCAAAGTTATTATTTAAATTAATTTTGTACCATAAAAACTAGGTTTTTTATGACGTACGTTTTTCCTAGAATAGATTGCATTGACTGCACCCGTATAGCTAGTTTTCCACAAAAAATTAACGATTAAGTTTATCCTGAACATTTATATATTATGTGATTAGAAAAAAAGCATATTACTTGAATTCAACAATATAGACAGTTTACAGTGATGCAGATATATTATTCAAAAACGTACACGTTTTAAAAAACGAATGCTCATCTAACGCCAATCAAGAATATAGATTTCAAAAACTACTTACTTGCTTTTCAACCACTCACTTTGAAAACGGTTCGTTTTTTTTAGCGATTGTCGAGGATAGACCCAGGCTATAATATGCCTTCACAACTTTATTATGAAAAAAAGAACTATCTATGTCAAGTATTGATAAACCTTATAAACTTAAATGAAACTAGTGAAGGGCTTGTAGGTATAGAAAGAACCGGAAGCAATGCTTTTAGCAGGTATGCAAGTAGAATAAGAGAAAGGTTTGCCGATTTTTTGAAGGTATTGGATCAGTAGTGTGGCAATAGGAAAAAGCAGCTATAAATACTTTGTAAATTATAGTTATTTCATGAAAGTTATTTCAATAAATAATAAGTACAAAATTTTATTATTTAATGATTGTTTTTCTTTTTTCAAGCCTTGTTATTACCCACAGCTTTATGAACCAACCCTAATAAAGGTATATCAGACTAATTAAAACAAAAATATGATTAAAAATATTTATTTTAAAGAAGCATCAAAGCACAGATATGATTTTATTTTAACACAAGAGATGAGCCTTTTAAAGTTATTTCTCAATGCTTTACTCCTCATCTGCCAGCATTTGCAAGAACTTAATTTGCATTTTTGCTTGGTTTCGTTGTGGAAGCCGTCTTAAACCCTCTTCTAGTAACATAAGAGACCCATAAATCCCATCAGGTTTCTTTGTTGTGTTTTCATGCAATGATTTTAAAATCTGTTTTTGGATTTCTATTTTTGTTTCATTGATTAATGGGTTGACTAAAAATAAAAATATTATTTATTAAGCTGTAAGTAAAGTAAAAAAAAATAAGTTTTTGTTATTGTTTCACACTTGGCAGTTTTTTAAACATACCTTCTCTTTTACGTTCAGTCTCTCGTCCAGTTGATGATGTTGGTGATAACAAATCTGGTGTTGATGAACTTGATAAAAGGTGTGTCTTTGAGAGTTGTATTGATATTGAACACTGTGCTAAAACATGTAGTACAAAATTGTAAAAGGTAGAATAATTTAAGTCCAAAAATACATTATTTTATATTTTTGTTTTTTTAGGAAGATAGCTGGATGTTTTCATTTTTTTCTTTTTTTTTTTAATTTTTGCAGTTTTTATCACTATATTGGTTTATTTATTTAAACTTTTCTGTTTTTAAATAAATGTGTAAACATCCCACCATTCTTTGGATTTTAGGCTATTTTTGTTTGCTACAATTTGATGTGATTTTAGGTTAGCCTAGAAGACACTGTTCGAACTAGTTTAATTTTCCTTTGCAGGTAAAAACCTTTTTTCGGAGACAATTAACTCGAGGCTATAGTGAGTAATATGATACTAACCTTATATTATCTACTGTGCTGTTCAAAAATTTCATGAGCTCAAAAAAATGAACGATGGTTTTGGTAACACATCCTCCAATCCAGAAACACTAGGTACATATGATTTGCTTTTTTTAAGAGACCTCATGAAATCGTCCCTTAATTGTCGTCATCTTTTTTTGATTATTTCAACTGAAAAATGTCCTAAAAAACAATCTTTGTTTAACAAAAAATATTATTTACTAATACCTTCCAATTCCTGAGTAATACTCTCCCACATCTGTTTTATTTTGGCCGGTCATCTTTGAACCACAGGAAGTCTGTGATCTCAAAGGCTTGTTTGCTTTGCACCATTGAAATTAACATTTCGTCATCCAGACTTTCTTCTGTTGGACTTGCTGCTGGCTGAGTAGTGCTTGGATCTTCAACTATAAAGTGAAAAATTCATAAAATAAAAACTCACTTTGATGTTCTACTGGTCTATTTCACCATGCGATCTCCCTGAAGCCTGCTAAATTATTTATCTACAACTTTAGTATTTACTATCTAACAATTAAAAGATAACTTACCTAATTCCAACACATTATTATGCTGGCCAGATAATACAATTGCATAGTTTTTATTTGTGGGCAGATTTTTTAATTTTTCACTGAAACCGATATGGTCCATGTAGTCTTCACAATAGGAGTTTATAAAAAATTTGCAGTAAGCACATTGGTACTGAACTTTTCTCGACATAAATAATTTTTTGACAAAAGTAAACAGAAATTTTTAAAATGCACAGTTCAGTTAACCACAAAACAAACAAAAATGATACTAAACAACAATTTAGCCTTAATCACGCATAAAAAGTTAAAATTGACCCACTTCAATCCGTTGTGACCTTGAAACGTGCGTGATTTTATGCCTTAAAATTTCATTGGTTGATACTGATCACGTGGTACATCACGGATGCATGTGGACACAGCCTAACAGTTACAGTTTAGTGCCTGTCACACCACAAGTGCATACGACATTTTTTAAACAGAGCACCTTCTTTAAAAATTACTGATACTTATATAAGATTATTTGTAATTTGAAGGCTTTCTACAGTTTTCTAACAAAAGACATATTACTTACCTATTTAACCTTTAACTACTCGCGCCTTAATATTTAACATTAGTACTCGCGTGGTGTATTTTATACACCATCACCAAAAATGCTCAAAAAGCCCACAAAAAAATACATATATTTTCAAAAACTTTTATTGAATGAAAAGCACTATTATAAATGTATTGAAAACAAATAAATGTATGAAAAACTAAAAACTAGAAAATATCAAACAAAACAAAAACCAAAGAGTTTGTGTAAACTACTACTCGCTAGCATCCTCATCATTGCTAATATTATTGCACTCCGGACAAGAAATTTTACTAATTGAATGTTCCTTGCATAGGGGAAGGTGACGTACCTTGATACCATTTTTGCAAATATGTTCAATAATATCACTGAAATGACATTTTGGTAATAAAACCGTTGCCATCGTATCTTTTGACTATTTTTTTACACTGTAATGATCTGGTTTGTAGAAATAAGTCTTAGGATAAAAAAATAATAATAAATGAAAAAAAAGTGAAAAGTGGCTCAAGGTACAACATAAGGTTGTACCTTGATCCATCTGATAATGTACCTTGAGCCAAGATATAAAAACACCAATTACAAACTAAACATTTATTGTTTTAACTAATTCATAGCGTAGGAGCAAAAATCTACAGAAAATCTGTAATATGACTGCTGTCTAGCCGATCCTACCGTGGTCATTGGAGGTGGTAGTTTCAAAATGACGTCTTTTTCATCAACCACGTAAGATTGGGCTGAATTCTTTAGTAAAAATTTGTTTGTACCAGGAACTTTATCTAGGTAAGTGATATACATTTCGGGTTTTACTGTCAAAACCTTGGCTACATAATATTTGATGCTTTTTTTACCGCAGAGTTTGACCAATAGAAATTCACCTTCGCTAATACTTTCAGTCTCTAATTGCTGCTCGAGTTGTTGAGCATTTACCTCGTCAGTTAAACTAATATCGTCATCAGAATTGGACGAAAACTCCATATCATCTGATTCGTCTGAACTGCTTTTTGCCCGTGCTGGTGCAGGTTTTTTCTTGAAAAATTTTCTCTTTACTGTCTCAACTTTTTGTTTTTTTAAATATTTCATCCGTTTAACCTCTTCTAACTCTTCTTTTTCCGGAGTGTCGGTAAGGATGTGTGATTTACCTTTTGGTTTTCCTCTGTTTGCGGATTTTCGAGCAGCGGCCTTGGGAAATGGTTTCACAGCTTCAGGGGACACAAAGCTGGAAGTGAAAGAAGGCGACTGATCGTCGGTGTCCAGTTCGGCAGTAGTTCGGCTAAAGGAAGTGGATGGCCCAGCTTCAGCCTCGGTGTTGTCTTTAAGTGTTTCATCAATGTTGTTGGCTTCTGGAATGGGTCGGTCAGTGACCAAGGATGGAAGGAAGTCTTCTTCTCCAAAAATATCTTGATTTAAAGGAACAATTCCGGAAGCTCTGAAACCGCTTATAATGTTCTTTGGGACAAAACTCAGGGGGTAAGCCTTTCCTACCATTTCTGCGATGTCATAAATTGTCATAGGTTTTCCGGCATTTTCTGGACTTAACATCCAGTCATTAACAGCAGAATTATAAAATGTTTTAAAAGGGCCAAAGACGCCTAGGTCGAGCGGTTGCATCTTATGGCTTGTGTGTGGATGAAATGTGAGCAAAATTACACCAGCTTCTTTGCATTTAATTATGGCAGGGATGGAGACATGGCTCTCATGATTGTCCATTATCAAAATCACAGGGTCATCAGTAGAGGGCTTCGAATGTCTAATAAAATGATCCAAAAACTTGAGAAAGAGCTGCTCATTTGACCATCCTGAAGAATTCGCAGCTCCAATTGCACCAGGAGGAGCTCCTTTCATCATGAAATCTTTAAAATTCACTCTCGGAAAGATTAGCATCGGAGGCACACTATTGCCGATAGAACTGATGGCAGCAATCATAGTTACAAGAGTGCCCCTTTCACCAGATGTAATACTAGCAATTTGCTTTACACCTTTTGGTGCCAACACTTTGGGTGGGACGTGGACGGTGGTAATCCCGGTTTCGTCGCAGTTCCATATTCGCTCTGAGGAAATCCCTCTTCTTTCCAATATTTTCTTGTAATTGTTGAAAAATCGAGTCACGCCTAACTTGTTAAAACCTGTTGATCTCCCAAGACTAGTTGCTTCCGGTTTACGTAATGACAATTCATTCTCGAATCTTTTTCTGAAACCTCTTAACCATGACTTTCCAGCAAGTTGCACTGCGTTCCACTTATCTGGATATTTTTTTTCATTTGCTTGGGCGTATTGGAATGCCAATGATCTAACTTCATACAAGGTTAGACCGTAATGCAACCGTGCTGCTTGCTTCAAGTAAGAAACAAGTTCTGCTTCTTCGTGTTTAGTAAAAATCCTATTTACATCATAGTGAACAATGTATTCAAAGTTCTCCTGATTGGATTCGCGAAATTTTTTAACATGCCTCATGAGGGTATGCCTCGACACATTGTGTACTTTAGCTGCTTCCCTGAATGACACTCTGTTCTTCAAAATATCATCTACTGCCCTTTCCATATCAGTTTTCGAGACCAAAGGCCTTTTTAAACCTTGCTTACTACGTGGCATTATCTGAAATGAAGAATGTTATAATTAGGGTTGTTAGAACAGATCAGTGCGACTTAAATCAGCTGTAGATAGGCACAAGAAATCACTTGATCTTACCAAATTGTAAAAAAAAATGTTTAAAAGTGGCCTTACCACTAAAACATTTTTTTCTATTAGGAAATACTACTTAAAAATTACAGCCTAGCTGCCTCTAGTTACCTATACGAAAAAAATTATTTTAAATTCCGATTTTTATTCCCTCTAACATCCCTTAAAAAACAATCTTAAAAATTTAAGAGTAAGATTTACCTATAGGTAGGTACCTACATTAAACTAAATAAATGTATCTTAGTTGATTTTTTCTTAACTAAAAGTAAAACTATTTTTAATATGACAATGCGGGACATAAAAAATCATGAAAAGCACAAATCGGAAAGTTTAATAATACCTACCAGTTATTATTAGTGATAATATATTACAAATGTGATGTACCTTGCCCCGGTGCAAGGTACAACGCCAAGACTTGGCTCAAGGTACAACAAACGTAGTCTCCCCAAATAAATCGAGTTAATAATTTTTAGGTTAGGATATGCCGAATTGTAATATAACGGTTAGATAGCAAAGACCACATAAAATCTCTAAATACTATCTGAAACAAATCTACGGACCAATGAATATGTGATTAAAAAAATACGTACCTCCTCTTTATTTACTTTACTAGCACTAAAACAGTTTCACAAACAAATCTCACAAACCTCGCTTTCTGTTTATTTCATATGCAACTAAAACCATCTATGTGGAAGTAAAGGTACTATAACCCCAATGAAAGATGCTGTGCGACTAAAATAGGCGCGACAATTGAAACTGGCTCAAGGTACGAACCTGTGCAAGGTACGTCACCTTCCCCTACTGGTTTGTGACATGTATGGCACGAAATTGTTGTCACCCTATTTTTCTGTCTTCCACAACAAAAACACCTTCCTCGTATTTTTGCTGGAGGTTCTTCGCTATGCTCCTCTTGAGGTGGTTTGTATCTTTTTAGAAAACACTGGATATCCGAAGGTAAGGTCTGCAGGATAGCTCTTTCCGAAAGGTGCGGCTTCATCATAGACATCGCCAATTCTTTCAGAAAAACTCTTCTGTATTTGTGGCTATTCTCGATATGTATGGCGTTGTATAAAATTTGACTATTTATACCTGCTATATTCACCAATTGGAAAAATAAAACTAAAGGCCATCTTCTTGTCCTTCTGAGAACGGAATACGAGCCACATAATTTATCCACAGTATCAACGCCTCCTTTATAACAATTGTAGTCCATTATAATATCTGGCTTATTAGTTTCAGGATGGATTGCAGCATCAGTGTGCATTGTCGAAAGCAAAATTACAGCCTTATTTTTTTTGGGGGCATAGGATACAATGGTCACGTCTTTTTGAAATCCAAAGATAGACGAACCAGGTGTTCTCTTTTTATTTGGTAAGAATTCTGACGGCAGCTCCTTTTTATTTTTTTTTAGTGTTCCAACAATTGTAAATTTATCATCTAAAAGCTTTTTAGCCAAAGGGTAATTAGTGTACCAATTATCACATGTCAAATTTCGGTTTTTGCCTTTCCACGGTTGAAGTAAACGAAGAGTGATATCAGTGGGCGTATTTGACCTTTGGTATTGCCCTTCTGGCTGTTGACCACAATACACCTCTAAGTTGCTAACGTAAAATGTTCTGGAGTCACATAACACAAACGCTTTCAAACCATATTTTGCAGGTTTGTTTGGAATGTATTGAAGAAAGCTGCATCTACCCCTAAAAGGTATCAACATTTCATCAATTGTTACTTGTTCTCCCAAATTATAATTCTTTTTGCAGTTGTCCACGAAACTGTCTAAAACTAATCGGATAGGAGCAAGTTTATCAGTTAATTTTCTATCACATCTAATATTTTTATTATCGAATCTTAAAGTAGTTAGCAAAAATAAAAACCGATTATAACTCATGCAAGCTCTAAATATCTCTGAGCCAGTTTCATCAGTTGTCCATAATTCAAGAAAA